AGCATGTGGAGGACTGCTGCCAAGCAAAGAGCCAGATTGTTCTCAGGATGCTAATCCCTGACCTGGTCCTCCCTCTCACAAGCCTGGATCCCGGAGTCCCTAGTCCTCAGAGCCTCGCTGGTCTCTGGGAGGTCACACTCTTGGTCCTTGAAGACCCCAGAGAAGGACGCTTTGCCTTTCTGGCCTCAGTTTCCCACCCTGCACGATGGCCAGGGAGACTGGAAGACCTCCCAGCCTCTTTCAGCCACGAACTGTCACAGGATACTAAGGTAGGGGAGAAAACACCACACCTTCTGGCCGATGCAACAGACACAGCCCCAACAAGGGGGAGTCTACCCCTGTCCTCACTCTCTGTTTCCTCCACCGGATTCCCAAACCCCAGCCAGGCCACAAGGGCCTTCATTCCACAGGGACAGGGGATTCTGGGCTCAGGGTCACAGGCTTGAGGTGGGGCTTCTGTTGGAGCTGCGCTGTCCTTGACTCTGCAATCACACCACAGCCAGGGCTGAGGCCGCAAAGGTCTCCAGCTGGGGCCTGTTGTGGCCTGAGGGTCTGCAGGGACAGGTAACTCGGCCAGGAACAGGCCTGCCCAGCTCCAGCACCCCCAGGTCTGCAGGGACAAAGGCTTCCCGGAGGCAGATTTTAGAGAGGCCTTGGGTCAGGACAGTGGCATCCAATGTGGCCTCAGCCTTCCCCCTGGCACCTGAGCAGGTGAATTTACGTATAATCTTGCAGAGCTTGATGCCCTTCCCAAGATGCATCCCAAAGCAATCCTGATACCCTGGGCCTGGGAGTCCTGCCTCAGTCCCCTGGCACCTACCCAGCGTCCTGAGAAGCCCAGTGCTGGTCCCTTTCCCAGCTTCCAGACATCCCCTCCTCTGAGACACTGGGCCACTCCCCCTTCCCCAAACCAAGGTGCAGGGGGGCCCAGGAGGAGCTCTGGCTTTGGATGGTGAGAGGGCAGCTGACTCAGCTGAGCAAGGTCCAAAGTGAGACTCCAGAAAGGCAGGTTGTAGGCCCAGCTCTGCCACCACCTCCCTCTGTGGCCTCAGTGTCCCCCTGTTGACAAGGGTTTGGAAAATGGGCATCTGGACACATCCTCCAGCTGTGCCACTGTAGGATCAGGACTTTATTGACTGGAATTACTGGGTTCCAAATACTCCAGCCTGCTGGCTCCTCCCCTCAGAACAGAGGCCAACATTTGGGAGCAAACTGGTTCCTCCAGCCTGGAAGGCCCAGCCCTGCAGCCCCAGCCCGGCCTCTCCACACGGTCCTGTCCCAGCTTGAGAGGTTCCAAGACCCTCTTGGCTGCTCCCTCTCTTCCTGCTTGGCCAGGGGCCTCCCACTTACCCTGCCAGCCTGCTGGGGTGTAGAGGGAGGGCCCCAGGGCCGTAGAGAGGAAGGGAGGGGCAGCAAGCCTGGCAGGAACCAGAACAAACCTTTCCCAGCCTGGGAGAGCCTCTCTCCTCCCTCCCAGAAGCCCTCAGGTGGCAGCCAAAGGGACCTGTCGAAACACCCAAATCTCACTGTGTTGCTTCTGTCTTCGATGCTCCCCCGAGTTCCTTTCAGCCATCTGCACCCCTGTAGGAACCCCCATCCCAGCCAGACAGATTTCTGCACCCTGGGGCATCTCCTGCCCACGCATGCCATTCCCACCGGCAGCCGTCCCTCCACACTTAACCTCTGTCCCATTCCAACCCCCTAGCCTTTGTTCAAGTCCCACCTGGAAGCCTGCCCCTTGCCACCTTCCTGTCCAAATTCTGCTAGTCTCTGAGGCCCAACTCCTAAGAAATCCAGTCTTCTCCATCCCAGGCCACCATTGGCTTCCTCTGTGTCTGCACTAGCCCATAGGGAGCCCATAGGGAGCTCTTATTGCAAATCACCATTTACTAAATGGACCTCCTAGATCAGTGATGGTGAACCTATGACACACGTGTCAGAGGTGACACGCGAACTCATTTTTTGGGGGTTGATTTTTCTTTGTTAAATGGCATTTAAATATATAAAATAAATATCAAAAATATAAATCTTTGTTTTACTATGGTTGCAAATACCAAAAAATTTCTATATGTGAGTTAAGTTAGGGTTTTTCAAAATGCTGACACGCCGAGCTCAAAAGGTTCGCCATCACTGTCCTAGATCCTTCCCCACCCCTGGCCCCACCTCCCTACAGCAGCCTTTCATCCCCAAGGTGGGCCTCTCTCCCCCTTTGTCCCAAACTGAGAGCACCGTCAGGGCAAGGGCTCTCCTTCCCTCCCCTTTCCTCTCGAGACTGAGCGGGCACCACAGTGATCCTGGTCCGTGTGACTGAAACCCCCCCGAGGTTGGGAGCTAGAAATAGCCCGTTGGGATTCACCCTCCACGATGGATCCCATCCTGCCTGGGACCTGATTCTCTTGTACCCGGGGCCTCCAGGCACGTGGCAGTGCCTTCACTGCCCCCCTTCAGCTCGAGTCTGGCACAGTGGACACGGCCATGGCTGGCTGCTCAGGCGGAGCCCGCTGGGAGTCTGAGGATGCCACTCACCAGACTACCTTGTGATGACCCTGGCATCACGCCCTGTGGTGGCCCTGGGGCCCAAACCCCTACTTCTTCCCTCAGTAGGTGGTCCCTGGCCGGTTTTTAGAGGCAGCACCTCACTCACAGGCCAGTTCCCACAGCCTCTGCCCCTGGCCTTCAGCCTCCCTTGGTTCTAATGGCATCTGTCCCCAGAGTGAAGGCCAGGCCTGACCATTTCTGACCATCACTCTGTCCCTGCGAGGAAGATGGTCCTGAATAGCCATCCCCTCTGTGTTACCTCCCTTCCTTGGGCCTCAGTTTCTCTCGCTGTAAAGCGAGGGACTTGAGCTCCTGTCTCCAAGGACTCGCTCTGTTCTAACACTCATCAGTCTCTTCTCAGAGACTCTGCCAGTGGGGGAGATGTCACCCCCGTACACCCATGACTGTGTGCTGTCTCAATTCAGTAGGTTTAGGAGCCTAAAGAAGAGGGACATTTGCAAAATGCAAAGTGGCGTGGGAGAGCTGAGGAAAGGAGTAATCCGATTTTGCTGGGGTCAAGCCCACAGGCTGCTTGGGGTGGCAGCTGAGCACGGACAGTTCGATCCACAGAGGAGGGGAGTCTGTGCCGCCCCGAGGGAAAGGGCCAAGCGTGAAATTGCAGCACGAAAGACAAACTGCTTGATGCTCGGAGCAGGGCCGTATTTTCCACCTGTCACTGGAACACATTCCCACGGACTCTCAGCCTAGGGACCAAAGGACCCACAGGCCAAGGCAGAGGGACTGAGCCAGCACCCCCATTCCAGGAGGGGTGACCTATCCAGACACAGATGGAGAAACCCCACCCCTGAGAGCCCTGAGAGTCCAACAGAGCTGGTCTTCGTCCAGGCTCTGCCCAGACCCTCTGGGCCACCTGGAGGGAGCCATTTCTCTGCGTGTCTACTGCCAGATGTTTCTGAGAGGGGAGAGTAACATTTCCTGTTACTCCACCGGGTGCCTGGGACAAGCAGTAAGTATTAACAGCTATTGTGATGGCAGTGCCCAGGCAGGTGATCTGTGCCCGGGGGTGGGCACTTGCGTGCACACACATGCCCACATAGAGCAGAGGCGGTAGGCGGACACACACCCTGTCTTGTGCCCTTTGGGAGGAGTGAAGTTGGGTAAGGACCCAGCTCAGTGGGGGAAGGAGAGAGAGAACCTTTCCCAGCCCCAATGGTGTCATCTCACTGTGCCTCCCCCAGCGGGGAGAAGGGAGGGAAGTGAGAAAGGGGGTGTTTAAATGTGTTCCCTTCTTGCTGTGTCTCACACAACCTGCCCCACCCCAACAGGACTCCTGGGGGACAGAATGGGAATCTATTCTCAGGCAGCTAAATCATACACCCCGGTGGTACTCAGGGGAGATCTGAACCGGGTCCAGGGTCCGGGGCAGCATTTGCGGGGCGCAGTGGATTCACACACAGCCGGGTGGTATGCACGCTGAGTATGTATACACATGAATTCACACATTCATGCATTCCATCACTTTCATCACTTACGGGTAGAGTGGTGGGGTTTGTGCCAGGCCAACGCCTGGTCCCAGGGGATGGCATGGCACCTGCCAACGTCACAGGTTGGTTATGAGTTCATGGCAGATCTATTCACACATGCCAGCCTCACCAGCCAGCCTGCTGAGACCCGGCTTGCTGCCCACACTGTGGGCTTTCTTCAACCTGAGCCTCCCAGGGCACCAGCCGGCCCACAGTGTGCAAACAGGGGCAGAGTCTGGTCCTCATCCCATCCCCAGTGCCAGCTCAGGACCTGGCACACAGCAGATGTTGGTGAATGAACGTCTGGCTGAATGAGTGAACGAATGACTAACGCCCACTTCCCCGCACCGCAGGCTACACTGCGTGAGTTGGAGGGAGGGCAGCGCCCCGCCGGACCCCAGAAGGGGTGGCACCTTCAGACCTCCGCACCTGAGGCTCTGCCTCCGGGTCCGATGGGGGGAGGGGGCGGGACGGTCACCAGGATGCGGCGTGGGGCAACCCCCTTGCCAAGAAGAAACCTCGGTCTCCTGCCCGAGCTGGGGGCGGGGGGCTGTCGCGTCCTGGAGATAGCGAGTGGCAGGACGTGGGGGGGCGCCCCGGTTTGGGGAGCAGGGCGTGGAGCGGCGGCCGCGGGACAGCCCCTCGGCCCCGCGCCCGGGCCGGCCGGGTCGTCCGGAAGGTGGTCAGGGCGCCCACAGCCTGGCTGGACAGGGCGCCGCAGCCCTGGCCCTTCCCAGCGGGGCCGTGGCGAGGGGGACCCGGTGTCCCACGAGGTGACGGTGGGCACGGGAAGGACGCGGGGCGCGCCGAACCCCTTCTGCACGCGCCGGGGTCTGGCCTCGCCGCCGCCCCCCCGCGCCCTCGGGAACCTCCGCCCACCTGCGCGAGCGCTTCACCTGGACCGGCAGCCCCCCCTCGGGCCGCGCGGGTCCCTCCCCCGAGCCTCGGCCCTGCCCTCCGGCGCCCGCCCGCCCTCACCTGCACGGCCCGCCTTGGCCATGTCCCGGGCGGCGGGCTCCGCTGAGCTGCCCGGCTCCTCGCGCTTCCCGGGCTGGGCCCCCGGCTCCGAGGCGCCTCCGGCCCGAGTGGACTCCGAGCGCCGCGCCCCGCGCCCCCACCCCGCGCGCTCCGCTGCAGCCACCGCATCCGCCGCCTCCCAGCTCCGTCCCGCTCCCTTAAAGG